ATTCAGCTTTATAGACCGAAAAGATTATTTTTAACACATAAAAAACCGGCCAAGTGCAAATTGAACTCGGGCACGAATGGTTTGTGCCATTACCTATAAAAACGGAAAAAAATGTCTGTTGTATGGGTGCCCCAATTAAATATTTTTATTCCGTTTTTAGTATTTGTTTTTATAGCGGCTACAGATATCTATGAAATATCTGTGAAAATTTTGACATTCTATCACGGTTCATGAAATACATACAGCCTGGTGACAGGTGGACGACAGTACTTTAGGACTAAAAATGTGATCAATGGAAATTGCCACGTAATCCATCGTTGAATGTACTAGGGCACCTGAAACCGAGAGGAGCTTAGAGTTTCCAGGCACTTTAACGAAAAGATACTTCGTTGCGTTAAGTGATAGGAAGGACTGTGTATATGTTTTAATTCATTATAATTTCAGCTTATTTTAGTTCACTTCTACATTAGCCCTTCCGCATAGACATAAAATGTATATAGATGTAAATAAAATGCGTAAATTAATACATACTTATAACTACTTCTTAACATTTACATATATACTATTCTAATATACGTGTGTATGTATGTCACTGAACTCCTCCTAAACGGCTGGATCGATTTTAATAAAAAATTTTGTATGTGTTCAGATGGATTCGAGAATGGTATAGATTAGATTCACAAAGTTATTTAAAAAAGTTTGAATTTTTTAATTTAAGACGTGTGTACAGGACAACATCTGCCCGCTAGTAAATATTATAAAATGTCATATATAAATTCTCAAATCTTACATTCTACTAACAAGGTCGTGTCGTCTTTGTGAATAATATAGATAGAAATTAATAGTATATTTTTTAAATTAGAGGACCTGTTATTTATTAGAATTAAAGTATCATAAAATATGTTGAGTGAAATATCCTGTTAACTTAATTAAAACTGAGAAAATACGAAAATACTTAAGTAATACTTGTCGTCTCTGAGGGCAACCGTTAGCCGAGCCTCTTTATTTTTCTCTATGAAAAATTTCAATCCGAGAATCGGGCGTCACATTTTTTTAAATTCTTTTGTCGTTTTTCCTTAGCAATTATTTGTTTATACCATAACGACAAAAGTACTAGGGTATCAAAAATGGAAGAACCTAGTCAATTCAATCTGTAAGCAACGCGTGTTTGTGTATTATTAAACGGTTTTATTTAGCTCGACCCGTACGGAATTTGTTTGTTTGGGTCAAAATTAGAAAAAATTTAAGCACCTTGCCGTTGTCAGATTGATCTGAAATTTGGTACACACGTGGTTTAATAACAATATTAACAAAAAAAATTTACAAAAAAAAAAAAACATAAAATAAAACCGTTTAACTTAAAAGTTTTTAAACGGTTTTATTTGTTTGAGGATATGTATTGTTGATTCCATGTAAAAAAGGTAGTGCGATATATTCGGTGAAATTAATACGTGGTTTAAACGTTGATTCAAACGAAAACCGAACCTCCGTCTTTAGTGATACGGTACATTGTTGGATATCCTGTAGTGAAACACTTACACCAAAAGTTTTGCAACGCATGAATGAGCGTAGTGAATGAGAAAAGAGACAGAAAACTGATAAATATCGCTTGCTCATCCCACGGTGAGCACGTGCACTCTCAGCGAATGTACCAGGGCCACAAAAATATTGACGGAGCAAATTTGTTATCGTCTGACGAATATGTTCATCCCTTCTTACACATACAGTATGGTCTTGACACAAATACTTTTACTACGTCATTGGTTTAGAATAAATAAACACTTACGATTTTTTTACATTCTTAAGCAAATTAAAATAGTAATTATTCAAATAAACAAAACACATTATTTAAATACGTATGTCAACATAAATTACTTATGTGTACATTCTTCAGTTAGAGAAAATTAAAATTAGGCTTCTACGATACCAATCGATAGCGAGCGATGTTTTGGACTAAGTTGTTAGGATGTTAGGTGTACCTTTTATGTGTTTAATGAATGTGACGTTCAAAAAAAAAGAATGTATTTATTTTCGGGGATAATATTATTTTTAGATATACTTGTTAGTTAACCTATATTTTTTGCCATAGACAAAAAAGTAACAAGAAAAAAAATCTCCTGGAGCACGTGTTTTAACGATGAATGTACTAGGGCGCCTGATATCGAGAGGAGCTTAGTTGGAAGTGCAGTTTTCTTTTGGGCGAAAAGCTAATATGATAGCTAATATATCGATTGTTGTCTACATTTTTTATATAATTAAATATTTCAGAGAACATAAAATTTTGTTCTCGTGCAGTGTAGTGTACAAATTTTCAAAGTTAATTAAAGTCAACAAAGGTTACATGGCAACATAATTATAATCAAAATTTTACCGCAACACACTATATATCACTAACACAGTATATCCTAAAATGTTTAAGGTGATTTATCTTAAATTAGAAAATGAACAAAAAATTATGATATAAACGTCGATCAGAATTATCTCTCAAGTTTCTGCAAACGTAAAAATATTATAATCTATAAATTATTGCTCCAATTAACAATATGTCTGACTATCTCGCAATCACCAGCTTTGTAGTCCCCGGTCAAAGGTCCCGGATATTGAGGAAAAAGTAACATAATTAAAGTGTTTAGATAAGTACTGGAAGGTTTTTAATGAGTCTGGCTCTCCATATGCAAATAATGTTTATGGTACACCTTACCAATATGTTTTTAGGGTTCCGTACCCAAAGGGTAAATCGGGACCCTATTACCGATACACTACTGTCTGTCTGTCTGTCAATCTGTCACAAGGCTGTGTATCTCATGAACCGTGATAGTAATACAGTTAAAATTTCCACATATTATGTATTTCTGTTGCCGCTATAACAACAAATGCTAAAAAAACAGAATAAAAAATATTTATAGTGGCGCTCCCATATAAATACATGATTTTTTTTTCCGTTTTTCTAGACAATGGTACGCAACCATTAATGCGCGAGTCCGACCCGCACTCAGTCGGTTCTTCCTTCTTTCACCTTCCCTTCCCACCTAGGTGAATTCGCCACAACGTATGCATCGTGTGGTTATTGTTATTTTCTAGGTTCTTTAGGACCGGCCGCCCAGCAGACAACCCTTATTGGGAAGAAGCACCCAGTGCCGCAACAATTATCTGCAGGTAAAATAAATAACTTCTCCCGTATGGAAACCGAACCCACGACAATAGCTTGGCAACTGCGACACCGAGTCATTATTATTTAAATCATAAATGTAGGAATTTATAATATCCATTAAATAGTTAAACTTTCATCTACCAAAAGACATAGTCGACTTACAAACATCTTATCTATCTTCAATACAAATGGTCCTAAGAATACAACTAAAAGAATTATTGCTAAAGAACATTCAAACTTAACAAGTCACTGTGAACAGGGTCTTTGACCGATTCTGTGATTCTATGACCTATAAAGTCTTACATAGTACTTTCTTAGTACTGGAGTTGAAAACATCATCTGATAAAGATAACAATCACGACAACATGTAATAAATCGCGTGGTGTAGAAACTACGAATAGACTCCAGCTCTCAAAACAATTAGATTGTTTTACAGTAAGTAGATTCGTTACAGCCGTGATAGCTCAGTGTTCCGGGCGCTCGCCTTTAATTCAATATACTCGAGCAACTTGAATTCGATCCCCGGTGCCGGTACCAATGAAGTTTTTAACTTACCACGTGCTCCGCGGTGAAGGAAAATATCGTGAGGAAACCTGCATATTTTCAAAATAATAAACAAAAAAATATATATTTCGAAAATATGCCCTGATATAGAGGAGGCCTTTGCCCAGCAGTGGGACATGTATAGGCTGTTACTGTACTTTTTAAGTAGATTCACGTTTAGTTGAATTTTCAAATGTTCGTAGTCTATAAAGGAATAAAATTTCATTTAGAATTCGTTCGAAAAAGATTTTCCACGCCATCTCAAAGGAAATACAAAAAACTTTAAGTCAGCTCATCACACGTCAAAACTAGAATGAAAAAAATTCATTGGCTTACCATAAGCGCCATCTGTTACGTTTTTTCTAAACTAGAATCGTTTAAGGAAAAATTATGCGAATATAATAATTATGGTATATTTTTTATAGAGAAATTCTTTGGAACATGCTATAATTCCTGTGTATTAAACATAATAATAAAAGGTTTATAAATTGATGTATTTCTAAACATCATTACAGCGTTAATATTGATGAAATTGATAAAATGAAATGAAGCCGCATTAATAAGATTTTTAACAGCGCTATCTATTGGACATTTTCTTAAGCTTTACCAATCTTTTATAAAACAAAATCGTGTGGAAAATTTTCTACTGTAAAAATAACTACCAACATTTAAATAAAAGATGGCATACTTCTGCAAAAACTTAGTAACTAACATCGCTCAGATAACTGCTTAGCAAATTTAATTTAATTTTCTTTATTTGACTCTAAACAAAATTAAAGAATATTAATGATTACTTGGGGAAGAAAAATTCTCGAGTGGCAGTCTCGTACTGGCCATCGCAGTGTAGGATGACCCTCCACTAGATGGAGTGACGACCTGTGCAAGTGTGCGGGAAGTCGATGGATGCAGGTGGCTCAGAATCGCACTTCGTGGCAGTCTATGGGACTTCCCATATCTTCAGCAGTGGACTCAAGCAGTCTAAAATGATGATGATGATGAATGATTACTAAGGACGTACAAATAAGGGCACTTCTATGATGACTGACGGTACACACATACATTATCCTTTGTTATCGCAATGTTTATGCACTGCATAAACATTGCGTCTTTACGACATGACAGTTAGACTGAACTCACACTGAGCTGTCACGTTCATTTTAAGTGCGGCAAAGAGGTTAAAGATAAATCGTCAAGATATTCGGGGATTCGGAATAGACAGTGTATATCTCAAGGTATTATGTTACGTAATCACTAAAACAAAAAAACAACGTTTAATTCGATCAATTTGTCCATTTACAAGGGACTACTCCAAGCCCCTCCACTCAATCATGATCTCGCATTCCACATCGTAGTTCCGAAGCTGGTCTATCTGCAGCACGATGACCTCCACCTCGTCGGGGCACTGGGACGTGTCGAAATCCACCGTGTCCTCGTAGTACTCCACGGAGCTGAACTGATACTCGCCGCCGCGTCTGGTTTCCTCGGCTTTCGCATTTTGACCATTGGCGTCTGGTATTAGAGCCGCATTTGCCGTGGTGGTAGCTGTGTTAGGATTCTTCGTTACGATTCCATCTATTATAGTCGCGTTCAAAGCTTCCTCGTCAGTTGCATCATTTTTAAAGGGCTTAGTTTCGTTCTTGTTGTATCCGCTTCCTTCAGCTTTACCGTCAGCCGTCAAGCAGGGTTCATTGTAGTTATTTATGTCTTCATCATCGACGGGTAATGGATCCGCCAAGACGAACTTCACCCGCGATCCGTCTTCCCTTAGCGTTCTTCTATACTTACGGGCTGTCTGTTCGAAGGTCTCTCCCTTGCAAGTGGGCTCCCCTAATCCAGTCTTCGTGTCCCTGAGATGGGCTACGTGCCATTGTTCACCTTCCAGGTCTTCGTGGAACCTCCTATTGGACCTGTGCAAGTCAAAATCCAGCGTGTCCTGCCTCCTATCTCTCCCAAAGTCATGTTTCTCTTCAGACACAATTGCGGACTGATCTGCGGAGATTCCTGTCTGCTGCAGTAGAGCGTATGCTATCAGTGAAACATACATTTCCCCGAGCTATATGAATTTGTAGTGAATGGATTTATATCTTTCGCTAATTAATCAACCGAGTTACGGTCGACGGTGCGTACAACAAATAGAGATTAATTTAAAACTTATTTTACAGTGTTTTATTCATTTCCTACAAATCTATTGAGTAAACCGATTGTTTTAAAAGTTAACATACGTCATTACTCATAAACAAAACAGATTTAGAAATAAACTTCCAAATAACTTAAATTCGAAATATCGTAATTTCGAATAATTTTTCCCATAAAACAATTTGTAAACCGGATGTTTGATGACATTGGATCAAACTATCTATCATAATTTCCAATAAATAATTTTCGTAATACATAATTTGCATTGATTTAAATCAGTGTTAAAAAAAATTGTCATTTATTGATTATACAATTGAATAAGATTTTTCAAGGCGGCGGATATATTTAAACCATGACCGATAAAACCACAGCTGCAACACGGCAGGAATTGCAGATGGGTTACCAAATTATAAAAAACAAAAAGAATGTAGGCGTCAACTAACTCGCACATCAGGCGAAACTCTAAAGTATAAAATTCCACTTCTCGGTCTTCTCCAGTCAGACTATAGATACCGATCGGGCCGAGTTGCCCTCTGCCCGAGAGGCAATGTTTTAAAAAATTAAAAATAAAATATTTCGAACCTTTATGAAGTCGCCGCGATGAGGTCGCGTCAGTGACTTTGTTGTACTCAGGAGGTTTTTTCCCTGTCAGTGGGACATATATATGCTCGTTACACAGAGAGAGAAGTTAAAAGTTTGCCAAAGTGCTAATTGTTTCCTTTATATTGCGATCTAAACTTTGTTGAATTGTTAACAAAAATCAATTTTGGTCACAATGAACATCCGTGCTGTCAATTTTCAACAAAATTATTTTATCTCATGATCGAAGTATTCTGAAGTACTTTTAATAAATTATCCAAAATAATATTTTCCCGTAATTTCATTTACTGTGGGCATTGAGTGTACAAATATTAAATACAATACAGTACAAATACTAGGTAGATACGGTATATTCCATTACGGTGGTAGGACCACGCAACAGTGTTCGCTGTTGCACGAATGGGCAGGTCCGTCCGGGTTAGTACCACGACCTCACAGAAGACCGGCGTAAAGTAGAAGTGTTGCACTTCTGCGTTTCGTCTGGTGAGTGAGGTAGCCGGGGCCCACATTATTAAGAGGTGGCAACGCATCTGCAACCCTACGGGTGTTGCAAATGTCCATGGGCAGGCGGTTATCACTTAACATCAGGTGAACCGCCAGCTCGTTTGCCACTTTCTCACATAAAAAAAAAAAAAAAAAAAAAAAAAATATGACAATAGCGCACCGAAACTGAGGTACTGAAATAACGCCAATTGGCGTAATTAAATTGCAATTATATAGATTGCTATCTCTTCCCGTAACGTACGTTCTGTAAAATCTGTCACATTCACTTGTATATGTCTAAATCTATATTATTAAACATCATTAACTGTTGGGAATTTCTCTTATGGAACGATTTCCTGATTACGAGACATTGTAACACTAAATAATAATTCTTGTCGTCGAAGCGAGCGCGGGTTAAACAAGCAAAACAAATTAATGTTCTATTGAAGGTAAAGAACTATCGGTTAATAAAAGGAAACGTCATCATTGACTGATCGTTATCTTAGCCACGCTAACTAATCCATTCAAGCTCGGCTACCAACATAACCACCCTTCAAGCGTCGGAAAATACTTCAATTAGACTCGCACACCCCTTGCGAGATCAAAACAGCCCAATTACCTCGCAGCACGACCCCTTTAATAAACCCTCTAGTCCTCTCAAATCTGAAATAAAGACGATGATAAATAATAACAAATTTGCAAAGTGAAAAGTCCCGAAATTAGCATGTCGTTTGAATAAATTGACAGATAATGCGACTCCGAGACCCCGCCATATTTGAATTCGCTAGAAAAGCAAGCATTATAGCGCTCGAGAGTGTAAGAACGTTTAAGCTTGCTACGCATGTAGCGATTTATACTCAGCGCTACAGCGCCTGGAGTGTCGTTGCGAATGTTAACAAGTCGCTAAGAGATGCAAATTGACAGCGGTTGGCAGCGGTGATTCGAAATGGCGCCAAATTATTTACATAATTTTATACGAATTGAAATGTATACATTTGGTGAATTGAAAGGCTTTTTGTACTTTTGATGTCTTTTAATAGGTCTATATTGATATCCATTAACATTATCTACTTATAAATTATTAGTTAAAGTTAATTATTTTAAAATTGCGAAACACAATAACACTTATCATACATTTAAGACGATTTATCTACAAGTGACAGACTACAATCATACCTTCGTCTAAGTATTATAATGTAAAAATAATAAAGACTTATCAGATCTAAAGGATGTAATGTATTAGATTATTGCACAATCATTTTGAGAAAGTATGTATATAAACATATGCTGGTCTATACACAAAAAATGTACATTATGAAGTAATACTTTGGTACAGATGAATCATTAAATATGTATACATTTGCTCAGTTTCAGATCACTCCAAAATGACCGAATTAATACATTTAACAGGCACTTCCTACTTTACGTCATGTGAATATAATGTATTAATAAAAAAATAAGGATGACAATTTGACATCTTTTGTGACAAAATGATTAATAATATATACAAACTGTACTTGAAGCGAAATACTCATTGAACTAAGTTCATACGAAAAGTTTCCAAAGTTAATACGAAACAAAATGTAACACGGTACACTTTTCATTTCTTACTACAAAGCCTATAATTAAACAAAATCAATATGGAATTGCCTATACCTAATAAGAAAGTAAAAGATCTAATGATCAGTGTCACTTGTTACATGATAGTACATGTGAGTACAGATTACAAGGTTTAATTATATATACATGGTTAAAAAAGAAGATCGGTGTGAAATTCGGTCTTTGCTTTAGCTTATTTCTATTTTGGCTTTCAATTACTTAGGCCAAAAGACCAAGACAAATGTGTTTCTTGAGATGTTTGAAAATCCTCGTGAAATTCGCTTTTGCGTTAGCTCCAATTTACATGCCAGTAATTTAAAATGTTAGACAAAACGACAATTAAAACGGATCAGTACATACAAAAATATGACTATCATCAACTGTTATTAAGATTAGCTTCATCGATCTTCGTACCAAATTCACGAAAATTTGTTAAGCATAACAGTGTTGATTGACTCGATTTTATATGCCGAAAAATGATAGCTTTTGTAGTGAGGTGATATATTATATTTTTTTTGCTAACCTGTGTTCGTATAAATTCACAGCAGATATGTGTGATGATTTATTGGTGATAAACGTTGACAGTCGAATTGAATTATGAAGTAAATGAGTCGCGTATGTTGAATAGAATGAGATATTTTTACTTTTGTTAGTAGAAGAACGTCTGAGAAAGTTTAGGTTACAATTCACAGATGGCAGTGCATGTATGCCGGGTAGGGGGGAAGTAGAGCGCAGGCCAATGGCAAGGCGTGCGCCGACAGTTCACGTTCTCCACTCGCCGCTTGCGCACGCAGCTGTTCCAGACGCAGCTGGTTCTGCCTCTTCCACTTCGTTCTAGAAGAGAAGATTAGGAAAATTACTGTTGGCTCGGACTCACAAAACGGGATCACTTACAGTTTAAAGATGAGTGATTACATACAGTCTGGCGGTTCACCAGTGGCGGTTCTGATGGTAAGTGATAACCGCAGCCCATTGATATTTGCAACACTATAATAGAGTGGGTCCCGGCTAACACTGCCACTTCACGCCGGTCTTCTGAGAGGTCGTGGTACTTCCCCGAATGGACCTGCCTATTCGAGCAATAGCACCCAATACCAGTGGCCCTACCACAGTATATTGCATGTACAATATATTTCTTTATACTTAATTTCAATTAACTTAGGCAAGGATCGCAAAGGAAGAACTTAATAAATTGTGATAGGTGCAAAAATAACATTCAATTATTTATGCATATTACATAAACAAATATATAATTTAATATATGATTTGTACCCAATTATTTTCATATATATTCATATATATTATTTTCATATATATTCTCTTTTATTAAAATTTTATTATTCTTGCATCTTTTGCTGCACCTACCATAAACTCTCACCACATCCTGGGTTGACTGGTAGAGAATGCCTTTGGGCATTAAGTCCGCCCTTTGTTACCTTGTTTTACTGAAGGTTGGCAATAAAGATTAATTATTTAATCATATATTTATTTATTATAAATAAAATAAACCATAAGTATATAATGTTTGCACATTTAAACCAATGGGTTTCAATAATGCGGTTTCTTAAATTAGCAACTAAAAGCTTTTTAAGAGATGCTTTTGATTATATTTAAAAATATCAGAAACATATTTTTTACGTTTTTATATTACGTGAGGACCTTTGACGGAAATTGGCGGCACTAGTAGGGTATTAGGTACGTTGCTGACATTTTAGAAATGACTAGGCTTTAACATCAATTCTTTAAGTTTTAATATCAAAATTATTTTACGCAGCCATGGCTCGCTTTATTTACTTAAGCGCAAAAACCGGGACCAGTTCAATATAACGCTGAATGTGATAATAGAATAAACTAAAAAATAAATTTAATAGAAGATACTACTAGTATATTCACATAATATAGTTGTAGCCTAAAACTAAAAACCTTAAAAAAAATAATATAATAACTAAAATATGTTATTAAAAGGAGTCCCATTAGGCAAGGTTCCGAAGATACTGGCAGCGTTCCCCCTGTGAACAGCTAAAATAATACATACGAGATGATAATAGATATGAAACCTAAAGTAGCCAGTGACTACCAGAATTGCTTGGAGATTTTAAAAAATCTCAAGCAAAGTTACGATTACTCATAGCATGTGCAATAGATTCATTCAAATTCTTCGAACACTAACGAGTTCACGTAAATTGTAATACTCCGAATTATTGGAACCAAGCGGTGAATCACATCCGCATCAGCCCAGGTCATGACTGGCATGCACTTCTCTACAATTAATACTTAATTCGACCACTATCGTCAGAACTTATTGACTACCGAGGTACATAGCTCACCGTCGGTTCTGGTACCAGGTCTTGACCTGAGTCTCGCTCAGGCTCAGCGCGTCTGCGACGTCTCCCCTGTCCGCCACGCTCAGGTACTTCTGGCAGCGGAACTTCCTCTCCAAGTAGGCGAGCTGAGCGTGCGTGAACGCCGTGCGACGTCTTCTAGGCTTCCTGCCCGCGGTAGGTGTGGCCGCTTTCTGCTGCTGGCGGTCTGCGGAGAACCCACTTATTCAAAAAGCTCACATCCTCTGTTGGGCCTTAAGCCTGATAGTGTTGGTACGCGGGCACATACCAAGGTTACGCTAGCGCTGCGAGACGCAGTCCGTTCACGTTCAGTCATCAAGCGAACCACGCGTTCTCAAATTATCATATCATAAATATCATATCATACTGTATCATTTTAACTATTTCAATTTTGTGATAGTGTTCTAATAAATTCTATTATCATTTATATCATCACAACCGATGTTTGGAATTAGCCCCAAGATTCTCTTTAGGAGACATCTTCTCCTTTCTTTAGCTTGTTGCGGCAACACCGCAAGCAGCCGGGGCATGCGACGGCAGCAGTACCAGGGTACATCGCGGCATACAGACGCACAATATATAGGATTCTTTGAAAGTTTGTAATACAATTTTTAAGCAGCAACCTAAGTCTTTTCATATACAGCTTTCCTATAATCTCACATAAGCTTGTTAGCGGCTCGACCGCTCAGGTAAGTGGTCGTTTGTAAGCACTGTTGGTTGTTGATGCTGGCCGATCTTCGATTAACTCGCTTGTACAAAATATCGGCCCATTATTACAGCAACAAACAAGGGCTTTAACAACGGCTTTGTAGGCTTGTCATGGAAAAACATGAGAAGTCTATTCCACGTAAACAACAACAAAAAAGTTCCCATTAAATTAGCAATTATTTATTATAATTTTTATCATAATTATATTACGGTAACACGATATCGTAATACAATAAATTGCTTTATTGATTATCGTAGCACAAAGTGGTAACACAGTGACGTCCGTTGTTATTGTAATGGCAACACGAGTGTGTGGATGGCAATGAAGTTCGGAGCATCAATATTGCTCCACCAAATCGAAACTGTTATCCAACCCAGTTTATTTGTAAATAAAGTGTAAAGTGAAATTATTTACTTCGCTCGCTATCAACATAACGGAGACTGTACTTTAATCAAAATGATGACGACTCTCAGCCACCTATGACGCTGACCAATATTTTTATTTCAACGCAATCTTAGGTTGAGGTGAGTTTGTAACACTTCCCTGGTGACAAGGAGAAGCTGCAGTGTGGCTGCACTACTCTGCACAAAGGGCATTATAGTACATCAGTTGACCAGACAACTCACCAGAGCTATCCTGCGACTCCCTTTGCGAGCCACCGGCCATGACGGACGCGAATCCGGCGAGCAGCTGCGATTGGAACGAGCCCTTCGTCAGGTCCATCGACCTGCCGTAAATCCCCTCCGATATACCGGCACCGAAGGCGGCGTCGGCCGCCTCCTCCTTGTTGCCGTCCCTTTCCGCCCTGTACAAGTGAAAGAGACCGGCGTCGTACAGCTTGACGGGGTCGTCATCTTCCTCCTTGAAGGGGGAGTCGTAGCTGGTGTTCCGCAGTCGGTTCAAGCTGTACTCCATCGGCGATGATCTCTCGTTGTCGCAGTTCCTCCTCTGGAAGCTGTCGGGGTCGCTCTCGAAGCCGAAGTGGCGCTTCTTCGGCGTGGAGGCCTCGCTGCGGTTGTCCCCCACCGAGATGTCGTCTTCGACGTCTGACTGCTCGACGTTGTGGCGGGTGGGAGAATGCCGACCGCCCTCGCGTTCCGCATCTTCGTTGACAGCACCTAAACAGCATTGACGCGATATATTGGTAACTGAAACTGTTTTTCTACGTTGTTCGTTTAATAAATTTTCATTTGAATATCATCTTGAGTGGAGATAAGCAATAAAAATTACAAATAATACTAGATATTTTATCGTTTTTGAATTTTAGTTCAAACTCCCGATGTGTCCCGGATCCTGAAATGCATCAGGCCGTTTTAACCCCTTTACTTTCAATGTCACAAACTGTTGGTTAGTATAAGTTAGCCGGCAGCCTGACTACAACGGACATTGTGACAGAAAACGTTTTGATCGAACGCGAACTGGTAGTTAAAATGTGAAAATTTTTGTGGATAAATAAATGGTCCAAAACTTTCAAATTTCCTGTATGAAATTCACCGCGATTACATTCCTCGTCATGTGAACTTGTCCCATCTGTTATATCTTGTATACGGAGTGTATATGTACTTTGTTAATATTTTATGAGACTATAAACGATAAATTAGTACCTATAAACTAATAAGATGAAACTGTAAAAATATTAGTTAACTGGTGGTTAATTATATGCATAGTCTTTTATTGTAGATTGTGAATTGCAAAAATTGTAGAAAAACGCGAGGTGCATACAGTCAACTGTTATAATATTTTAATGACAGTTTATACAATATAGTGAGTCATAATGGATATACCTTAAAAAAAGTATGATCTTTCAGTGAGGTAGCTTTTCTGAAAATTATTTTTCACTTAACATCAGGTTCATCACTATTCACCTTAAAAAACTTTTTCTGAAAATTATTTTTTATTCATCACTATTCAAAAAAATTACTTACTTTTTACGTTATCGGTTATCGGTTCGATTGTCTAATAAGCGTGTTTTTAAGTTTATTTTAAACTGTTATTCATTTTATATTTTTAGTTCTGCTTTTCATTTTTCTGTTCTTTATTTTTTAAACCTTTGTTTTTTAATGTAATTGGCACAAGGACACTATGGGGTATCGGATTTGGAAAAAAGCCTACCCTGAAGGTCCTGACTAGTAGGTATAATGGAGAAAAATTAAATTAAAAATATTTAAGTTATTGCATTGCCATGGGTCTTTGACGAGAGTGCAAAGTTTGATTAAAATATAATCGTTCGAAGTAGGGCAAAATCACGTTGAAAGATTCCGTCACATTCATACATACTCACAGATGAAACTAATAAAAGCGTCTTAAAACACTATGTGATACGGTGTAAACATAGACTGGAGCCGGCACCTGCGTTTGTCGTGTACAGGCAGAGGCGAATCCCGAAGACACATTAAGACAGCTTACCTGTCCGACCCCTAAAACATATTTATTCGGAAATTATAGCGAGGGAAACACTCTAGCACCGACACTGGAGTAATCCCGCCAACGAGCAAATCGACTCGAACGCGGCCCAACATGGCCGCGCTTTTAAGCGTCGGGGAAACGATGAAAAGGCCGAACGCTGAATGCGCGCTCCCGCCATTTTCATGCAAATTAAAAGACGCGAACAAGTCAAGATTTTCCCGCGCTAAAACACCATTCACAGGCCGTCGCATTCAATCGCTCGAGTGCGGGACGCCCCGAGGCATTAATTAGAGCGGAAACTCTATGGGCGTTCCTTTTTTAAAACTGACTTGTCTTTATGCGCGCCCGCTTTTGTCCCGCGGTTAAGTGTCAAGTCTTCGCATCATAGCGTTGTGTTATTTATGTGTATTTATAAGCGCGGAAAACCTGAAAAGCACCTCCTAACCTGAGAGTATATAAATTTTCATCTCACAAATAGAGTTTCAGTGCGTTGTGTAGTTTGCGATTTTTGTAACGAGCACGTCGAATACAGGTTACGTAACTGATCGAAACAGTATTCGACTCTACTACAGAGAGTTACAAAAAATTTTATGTCATTATTTACCGAGCATGTAATACAGTCTTCATAAAATCAATTAAAAACACAATAATAGGTATAAGAAATTTTTCATCTTTTAAAGACGTCTTATTAATATGTGTGAAACGAATAAAAAAGTATACCTCTTCATACGGCTTTTTATTATAACATGTAATAAGAAATAAAAAAATTGTAAGAACAAAATACCAAATTATAGAAAAGACAAGAAGGGATTTTTATTTCTTATGTGAAAAATTTGCCAGCAAACAGGCAATTCTTCTGATGTTAAGTGATTACTGCCGTCAAATGACATCTACAACACTTGATCGGTGGCAGATGCGTCGCCAACATGAGCGGACCAGGTTACCTCACTCACTTTGCACTGGCCTTCTGTGAGGCCGTCGTTATGTGTAGGGCCTGACGGGCCTGCCCATTCGTGCAACAGCCAAAACATGCTACGGTACCAAACTATCGTATGATCATAGAATAGGTGATTGAATTTTTTGAAGTCTGCAACCACATGAAATTGAAATAGACTGATCTAAATATCTAAATCTATATCAAAATCTAAATTCAGGATGCCACATTCTAATGCAAGTTTAAGAAATGATGACTTCGCAGCGCAATCGCCAAGGGCTTCGGCGTCGGGGTCCGTGGGTTCGATTCCCACATGGGACAACTATTTTTATGACCCACAGACTGTGGTACGGCCACGCAACAGTGTTCACTGTTGTACAAATGGGCAGGTCCATCCGGGTAAGTACCACGACCTCACAGAAGACCGGCGTAAAGTATAGTGAGGTAGCCGGGGCCCATTTCATTTTAAAATGCATTTTCTTTGGGTATTGCCAAAGTCCATGGGCGACGGTTATTAATTAACATCAGCTGAACCACCAGCTCGTTTGCCATATATCACATAAAAAAACTAGACAGTTGTTTCGCATCTGGGTGTCTGTCCGCGTAAATGTACGTTCGTAAAACGTCCTTACAACACAGGATAATGTTATCCTAATGTTAGGGCATTGTTTTTAAAAAGAAAAAATAAATAAAAATACAAAATAAATAAATTCATTGTTCCGGGGTGGAAAAATCTATTTATTTTCCACGGACAGAATCTCCGAGACGTTGCTCGTTAAAATTGCAACGCGTTAGTTCTGACCGAAGATACTTAACTTTTTCTAAGTGCCGTTTGTCCCTCATAGAAAATAACAAGGTTCTTACTTCCACTTCACTGGCCTCACTTAGGTCGAAAATTGATAAATTATGTCCGATTTAAAAAAAAACCTTAATATAACGCCGAACGTTTTCTTTTAAAAGTATAATACTTTAACATACATTTAATTATTAAAACATGTAGAAAAAGTACGAAAAGATTGTCGCCGCTGTGGGAATCGAACCCACGTCTTCGGCATTCGCGGCCTGACGATCTTTTCGTACTTTTTCTACATGTTTTAATGTTCAATCTTAAGTGCAGAGATTAGCACTATAAAAACTTTAAAATATACATTTAATTAACTAACCTCAAAGTTTATTCTTTTATAGAAGCCCACATAATCAACTTTTAATAAAAACTGTAAATTTAAAGATTTCATGATGATAAATTTGTTACAATTCCTCGTTTTGAGGCACTCCCTTAGGTCCCGTCACGATCGGAATTGTTGGCATATCAGGTGAGTTCAGTTTCACGGTACCCAAGAAGAAAAAGCCAAACCGACTCCAAAAACTTGTCCTCGGTAAACTTCTTCTTAGAGCGAAACAGTGTTTCTTTCTGGCAGAAGGTTGAGCACATGGGAGGGCGCTCAGAACAGGTTCTCTTCGATTTGGATGCTCGTGTCATCGACGACCATATTCCGTCGGATCACTCCGCTCTTTTGGCCTTGCGAGATGACAGGTCCCCTTGCATTTTCTTACATAACCTTGATGGTTGGCGGTCCACCACTTTGTTTTTCACGAAATTTTCTACCCCGCACAACTACTTTGTGGAACGAGTTGTCGCCAGCGGTATTTCCGGACCGATACGACTTAGGGACCTTCAAAAAGAGAGCCTATTCCTACGTTGAAGGCCGGTAGCGCAATTGCGACTCAACCGATGTTGCAAATGAACATGGGCGGCGGTGATGGCTTATCACCAGGTGACCTGCATACTCGTTTGCCTCCATTTCCCATAAAAAAAACTAGGTGAAGCGAAACCCTCTGAGGAATTAGAATCTGCGAAAACTTTATGCCATGCCAAGACTCCGTGGAATAATCACTAGTAGTCTTTCCGGACGAGCTTGTGCTGGCAAAGGATTTTTGGTTCCTCTGCTATTCAGAACGTCAATGGTGGCAGTGGGAAGTACTTTCTCGTTCGCACCTTTTTTTTTTATGTGAAAAGTTACCAAACGAGCAGACGGTTCACCTGATGGTGAGTAAATACCGCCGTCCATGGACATCTGCTACACCCGTCTGTAACCCTCACAGATGAGTTGACAACCTTTTGCAGATTAGGCTCCGGCTACCTCACTCACCAGACGAAACGCGAAAGTGTTTGTCATACTTCCACTTTACGCTGGTCTTCTATGAGGTCGTGGTACTTACCCGGACGAGCCTGCCCATTCGCGCAACAGCCGAGGCTGCTGCGTGGCCCTACTACCTTCGCAATAAAATAGCATTATAGAACCCTCCTGTAATACATCGCTTCTTTGTCGGCGTTGCTTATCACATTTACAACAAGCGACCCGCCCTGACTTCGTACGGGTGCAATGTTTATATTCCATGTGATATAAAACATTTATATCACATGGAATACAAACATACGTACGAGGGATGTTCAATGCATCAATTATCGGGGTGATATACTAATGATCAGGGTGATTAAATTATCTCATTAGTTAAAGACTCTTTAATGTTATAAATACAAAGTTTAATTTAATTGTCACCATTCAAATTCAAAATACTTTAATTCACATAGACGCTTGCGCGTTCTTATGAAACGTCGAAATTCTACATAGAAATTAATACGTTCGTAAGTTACAAAGCAGTTTCTGTTGAGAAGAAACCGGCAAGAAACTCGACAGTTGCTCTTTTTTAAAATGATTTTACATAATAATAGGACAGGTATAAGTATTATTTTAGCCTACCTGAGTATCAAGAGTA